TGCTAGGGCAGTCCTAGGAGGACACACTGCCCTTGCCCACTATCCACTATCCAGACAGGATTACCTTCCCTTATCACAACACAAACCTCTTGCATGAAACAAATGCAATAATTAAAAAAATTAGCTGAACTGAGAACAAGCTGTAAACATAACTTGATTTTTTACCAAGGTTCTGTATGTAGCCACACTAAATTGTTGAACAACATTGAGAATTCAAGTTCTCAGGACAAAAACAACAAACTCCAAAACGACAGAACCAAACACAAACACAAACCTACCTCTCAGCTAGGCTCACTGACTGATTAGGAGTTCCTTGAATGAGGAATGCTATGGCAGAACGTTGCAGGTCCAAGATCAAATTGTCTTGGGCTACCTCTAGCCCCTCACTGCCCACCGCTGTTGGACCTAACATTCTCAGAACAAACGGACAAGCTCCTTTTTAGAATGTGGACAGAGCTCTAGCTTCCACCAACCCAATGGTGAAGAATGTAGTCAGGCAATGTCTGGTTTCTACAACAGAGACTTCCCATTTCACTACAACCTGGTATTTTAATCTGTTTGAAACATGTCTTAATTTATGACTTTCTCTGTGCTATGAAAATGACAGAGAGCCATCACCATGCAAGAAGACAGCATTTACACAACCTGAGTCTGAGTTCCTGGGCCACGGTCACTCACACTGAGCTCCAGATTCTAACGTTCCAAATGAAGAGTTGGAATAGACCACCAATTGGCAAACACAGAGTAAACTGACTGTGGTTCTAAAAACAAAACAAAAATATACACGGTTAACACAATTTTTAGGGCTGGAGAGATGGCTTAGCAGTTAGGGTGCTGGCTGCTCTTTCAGTGGACCTGGGTTCAATTCCCAGCACCCATGTTGGCTCAGACCTGTCTGTAACTCCATTGCTAGAGAATCTGATGCCCTCTCCGGTCTCCAAAGAAACTGTACACACAGTGTACAGACATACAGGCAGGCAAAACATCCATATACATTTAAAAACAAAAACAAAACAAAAACCAAAAACAACCCAACAACACCCCACAGTTCTCTAAGAATCAGCGAAATGAACCTAGACAATGGATGACATCACTACTAATTTCTGGGTGTGGGAAGGTGAGTGAATGATATGTAAGTTATGTAAGGCTGATCTGTCAACATGCACAAGCACACAAAAATGTACTACAAAAATATGTGCATGAAGGGTAAGAGGGAGAAACAAAAGACAACTGAGAGCAAGAATATCGTAGGATATTATTGGTTGAATTTAAACAAATCTTCTTTATACTGAACATATTCCTAACTACAAACTGGGGAAAATATTTCATATCCCACCAACAGCATCTGGAGTATGATGTGGAACAGGAGAATTCACAGGTGGAAATTCACTCCGCAAACTGAGAAACAGTCACATATGTGTATACAGCTAACAACGACACTCAGTCATTACATACTCTCTCCACCCACAATGGCACATGAGCCACCAATCTAGAATGAAGAAAGTAGGTGACAAATAGGAGGGGAAAAAAACAGAAACCTAGACTTGTAAAGAGGCACTGCTTAGAGATTTAGAGGTTGGCAGGAACTGTCCCAAGTCCTCTCAGAGTCCAAGCTATCTAAGACGTGAAGGGGAAGGATTTCTGTTGAATGCTGTTCTGACCACGTGTTCAATTCTCTGGGAAACAGGAAACACGTGGAGTCAATCCTCATATACTTGGGGATCTGTAGTCAGACCACCCCAAGCCACAGGTGTTATGGGGATCCTGTTCTCCATGTCTCACACGTAATGACAGAACCAGCTATGTCACTAACTGCAAACATAAGGTGAACTTCAAGTCAAAATCCTGTCAGAGATATCAGAGAATGGCAAGACAGGATGTGAGTTCCTTCTGATTGCTACCTGACTGAATGGGAGAGACCTAGGATTTTAATGCAGGACATGTGTGACAAGGTTTCCAGGGGCAGTTAGATAACAAGTGATCTGACTTAACGGTTTCATCCAACAATCATTTCAAAGAGAAGAGACTAAAGGAAGTTGTCTGGCTGGAAGCAGTGTTGTCTCCTGGAGTATGTATTGAGGGACAGACACTAACCTTTCTCTTTCCTGTCTCTCTGTGTGCTTTTTGGCTGCCATGAGTTAAACAGCTCTGTTGCTTCTTGCCCTTCCACATGACGATTCTGACTTCATGAACGCTCTAAAACATACAACGCATGGTAGACTGTGGCAACCTCTGTAAGCCAAAATAAATCCAGTCTCCTGTGTTCCCTCGGGCATGTGTCACAGCCACCAGTGCCACGGGAAGACATTTTCTCTTCTACATTCTGGTCAAATCGGCCTAAAGAAGCATTCAACTCTCACCTCCCTGTTAACTTCATCTGCAGACACACTCTTCAGTGTCCTGTAAACCATTTGAAAGTCTGATGAACAGAGAGGGATGCAGATCCTTCGCTGGCAGTGAACGCGGTCTTGAGGACACAGAGGGTAGGCTGGGAACACCTCCACCACACAAGCATTGCCTTAGTGTTGCGTAGTCACAGCCATGGCCACTGGCTCCTTCAGACTGTTGCCACAGCTTCAAAATAGTGACAAAAGCATGAAGGAGCTGGCTGTGGGGTCCCGTGCAGCGCTGTGGACACTAGCTGTGGGGGTCCCGTGCAGTGCTGTGGACACTAGCTGTGGGGGACCCTGTGCAGCCCTGTGGACACTAGCTGTGGGGGCCCCGTGCAGTGCTGTGGACACTAGCTGTGGATACTAGCTGTGGGGGTCCTGTGCAGCCCTGTGGACACTAGCTGTGGGGGGTCCCGTGCAGCGCTGTGGACACTAGCTGCAGGGGACCCCGTGCAGCGCTGTGGATACTAGCTGTGGGAGCCCCGTGCAGCACTGTGGATACTAGCTGTGGGGACCCCGTGCAGCGCTGTGGATACTAGCTGTGGGGACCCCGTGCAGCGCTGTGGACACTAGCTGTGGGGGCCCCATGCAGTGCTGTGGACACTAGCTGCGGATACTAGCTGTGGGGGTCCTGTGCAGCCCTGTGGACACTAGCTGCAGGGGGTCCCGTGCAGCGCTGTGGACACTAGCTGTGGGGGTCCTGTGCAGCCCTGTGGACACTAGCTGTGGGGGCCCCGTGCAGCGCTGTGGACACTAGCTGTGGGGGCCCCGTGCAGCGCTGTGGATACTAGCTGTGGGGGTCCCGTGCAGCCCTGTGGACACTAGCTGCAGGGGGTCCCGTGCAGCGCTGTGGACACTAGCTGTGGGGGTCTTGTGCAGCACTCTGGGTCGTCTATGATCCGCTATATGTCCTTACACCATTCCCTAGGCATAGCATCGGTGAGCTCATAGTTCTGTCTCTTCACACTTCCCAAGTTCTCCAAGTGAGAAATCGCCTCTCCCTCCTGTGTCACCTCCTGTGTGATACACACTTGTCACACTGCAAGTGTGTGCATGGGTTTGGTCTGTTTGGAACAATCGCTGGCAGAGCACACTGGCATCAGATGCGCTTCAGACAGGGCACAGGTTCCATCCTTTGGGGCACTCAGAAGGGGAAGCTGACGGGAATGAAGTACATTTTCGGTACTTGCACAAGCATCCTCACATTTGATCACTACAGAAGTGTGGGGAGGAGGCAGGAAATAATTCACAGCCTTTGTCACAGAAGAGGAAACTGATGAGGAGAGGAAGAGGCCAGCTAGCAGGCTTCCCTCACGAGAAGAGTAAGACCCTAGGAGACTAAAGTTTCATGCAAAACTAAATGCTTCACAGAAATACTGAAGGAGAGTAAGAAAAAGCCTATTGGAAGAGAGAAGAAACTTAGAATTTACAAATCTAACAGCACTGATCATGAAGAAAAAAAATTTGCATGTTTAAATTTGAGCTGATGGAAACATGCAATGAATGTGTGGGAACCAGAGAACTGGTTCCGTAGACAGTGTAGCTCAAGAACAGAAGATACAGTGCCAAGCAATACTACTTGGGAAACACATTTCATATTTGCAAAGGTTTAAATTGGTCATGCATATATTTTTAAATTATCAATACATAATTGTAAGAGTCATTATGCTTTTTTTTTAACCACTAAATCAAACAGGGCCAATGAAGAAACATTTGAAATCATACTTCAGAGAAGCAGACAGAGGCTCACTGCCATGGAAGCTCTGTGGTACTCCGTCTGACTCATGTCCTTCCAGGTCTCTCACCACGCTCAAGGACTCCTTAGGGTTAGTTTACAATGTGACATCCCACGCCCCACCACTTCACATTCTGATTTCCTTAGGCACACTAAGAACTCTGTCAGTCTCCCCCTTTTAAAACTACAATCTGTGGCCTTATCTACTCAGCTCCCCAGTGATGGAGCCACACCTTACGCACCTACTCTACAGGGGAGTTCCCACTTTCACCATCACATACACAGCCTAAGGCTGCAACCCATCCTTCCTGCTCGTGTTCTTCTCAGGAGTGCGTTCCCAGATGCAGGCTCCGACAGAGTCTGGCCAGCGGCTTCCCTGAGCACCGTGTAAGGAAGCACTGTTCACTCACCCTGCTGCTCATACCTCACCATCATCTGGACTATTTCATTACCGCTGCTCAGAAGTGAACTATGAACAATTTAACTTTCCTGCAGAGGAAAGTTTTTCACAATATGATTATTAGTTGAACTTCCCTTCTACTTGTTACCTATTGATAAACCGGCAGTTTATTTAGATTTCTAAAATTGACTTATATGAACATTTTATATAATTAAAACATTAACTGAATGTTTACCACACTAGGATTTCAATTACATTTTTGTTTTAATTTTCACTTTGACAGTTTTCTCATTTTACTTTTTTACTTCAGTGCTGGAACTGGAACTCTGGGCTCTGTGCATCAACAAGCCTTTCTACCAGCTAACAGTGTCCCCAGTGCTGTGTGATTCTTTAAGAGGCTTTTGCATCTGTCCCCTCCTGCCTCCTCCTCAACCCTTCATGGTAACAGTGCACAGCGACATTTCAGAAGCATTACCTGCTGGTCATCGGGAGTCCATATGCCACATGTGATCTGGCTCTCCAAGTTGATTTCAGATGACCAGTGTCTTTGTCCGCTGACGGAACCAACCAGGACAAAGCCATCTCGATATGAAATGAGAGCCTGAGTCCCATCGTGGCTCCAGGTGAAATCACTCACCTTAAAGACATAGACAGAAGGCTCAGGTTACAGCATGAAAGGGAAAATCCTTTTATCAAAGCCAAGGGATAGTCATTAATTCAAATTTCTGTTTAAGACCAAGATGGGCTAAAATCAACAATATAAAAGGGACAGCTACAGCAGTCAGAGACGGTGGTGCTTTCCTGTACTTTCGGCAAGCCGCAGGCTATCACACTGAGTTCCAGGTCAACATTAGCTCCAAAATAAGACCTAGTCTTAAAATCCAAACAAGCAAAACCAACCAACCAACCCCCATCAAAACCAAACCAAAAACCAAACCAAATTCCGAAACCCCCAAACAGTGCTATCACAGCATGGACTGTGTGTCAGCGCTACTACAGAGCTCTTGAGTACTTTAATGCAGTAAGCACTGGGACAACAATCCAAGGAGGCATCATCATTCCATCGACAGACAATCTAAGGCACAAAGGACCTAAATAACTTAGCCTTAGCCGCACAGTCAGTGAGTGACAGAGCTGAGAACCACAGCTCTTGCCTTTTCCACACAGACTCCTACTTACAGTTAGTAACAGGCTCTCTCTCCATCACCATATGTTACAGCTCATTCCAGAACAGCTCTACACTTCTAATTCCTCTGATCAGAGTGAAGGGACAGAAATGTAGGGGAAAGCTCATCGAGTACTGAGCAACTCAAGAGTATTTAGAACCATGTATTCAAATGCTGCCTCTCACCTTTTGTTTTCTGGGCTGAATTATGTCTATGGCTTTTTCAATATTGCTCTTTTCTCAATACTGGAGGTAATGGGGACTAGTGTGTAAATGAGGTTGGGCCACAGTGTACTTTAGTAGTAGAGGACTGAACAGCAATCTTGATTCCTACCGTGGTAAGGAAAGGAAATATGTTTCTTTCATCTTATGACTTTAATCATTTACCCATATCTTCACAATCTGCAGATACAGGATTTAAAAAAATATTTATTCTATTCTGTATTTCTATTAGTTATGTGTACATGTGTGTCTGCCTGAGGGTGTGTGTATAAAAGCCAGAAGAAAGCACCTGCCCCTGGGTCTGGTGGCACAGGCGGTTGTGAGCTGCCTGTTGTGGATGGACACTGGGGACTAAACGAAGGTCCTCTAAATCTGGTGACCACAGAGCCATCACTCCACCCCCAGGATTTGATTTTCCCTCCACCTACCTCCCCACTCATCCTCTCTCCTTTATTTCTTCCTCTCTTTTTCCTGAAACAGGGTTTCTCTGTGTAGTCTTTGGCTATACTAGAACTCACTCTGTAGACAGAGATCTGCCTGCCTTTGCCTCCAGCGTGCTGGGATTAAATAAATGTGTGCGTGTATGCCACCACTGTCTGCAGATGCAGGAATTGACAGGTGTTCAATAATTTATTCATAGCCTAGAAGCTATTTAACATAGACTTAATTTTTTTCAAATATGCAGGGATTTGGGGGAGTTTGTGAGACAGAGCTTACAGGGTGAGCTATGCTGGCATACGTAGACCAGCCTGTTGCCTTAAGTGCTGGTGCTATAAGGGCTAATCATCATGCCGTCAACACTGGGACTTAGTGAAATTGGTGCCAAAGATAAAACCCAGGCCGCTGTCTTTCATATGAAGTACTTAACCAATGACATCATCTCTGGACCCCTATCCAAAACTTTAAACACAGAATCTGTCCAATCATCTTTTAACTGAACTTAGTCCACTGATATTTATTCTGTTCTCTACTATATTTGGTTCTGTCTCTACCATCTTAATTTACTTTTTAGTTTGTTCTATTGTGTTTCTTTTTAACTTTTCTCTCTCACACATAAAATCACTAATCATAATCTTTACTGTTTCATATGCTTGAAAATATTCTTTTAAAATTTTGTGATATTGCTAAATATATATCACATTTCAAGAAATAAGAAAACAAACAAAACAGCAAAGAAAAAGCACTTTCAGCTGATTTCAGCATGGCTGAGGCAGACATTGGCCAGTGTCTATGGCAGCAATGGCACTGACTGGTGGGACAGGCCCTCAACAGCTGTTACAAGTCAGCCGTGAATGATGTTTCTGTACAAAACTCAGAACTCTGGCTTCACATCATGTCTAGCCAGTTCCAAGATCCAGTCTCTCTTAAGAACACAAAGTTTCCATAGACAGAATATTACTGGGCAATAAATGTAACATTTTCCCCAAAGATCATGCTATTATTTACACGTACTTTGACCATGTATCATGAAACAGTTATTAAAAGAGGGAACATCATCATCACCACCACCATCATCATCTTCATCATCATTGTCCTAAAACACTAAAGCACACAGGCAGTGAAAAGAAGCTTCTCAGAGATAGCAGCAACTCTTCTGCATGTCTGTCTCTAACCCTCCTTC